ATTATTGCACAACATTAGCCTAATATGATCCACTAATACTAGCAACCCTCAGGAACAACTCCACAGACGTGACAGAGGAAAGAAAGGTAAACAGAATGGAATGATGCAAAATGTAAGCTACAAATTGAAGAAAACGAACACTAAAGTGACAGTTATAAATGTATGAGGGTATTACTGACGGTGGTTACCGATAGTGGCTAATATTTAACATGATACAAATTGTAAAAGAAAACGAAAAAGAAAAGCCCGGGCATACAGTTGAAGTCAGAAGTTTACATACACTTAGGTTGGAGTCATTAAAACTTGTTTTTCAACCACAAGTTTTGGCAAGTCGGTTAGGACATCTACTTTGTACATGACACAAGTAATTTTTCCAACAATTGTTTACAGACAGATTATTTCACTTATAATTCACTGTATCACAATTCCAGTGGGTCAGAAATGTACATACACTAAATTGACTGTGCCTTTAAACAGCTTGGAAAATTCCAGAAAATGATGTCATGGCTTTAGAAGCTTCTGATAGGCTAATTGACATAATTTGAGTCAATTGGAGGTGTACCTGTGGATGTATTTCAAGGCCTACCTTCAAACTATGTGCCTCTTTGCTTGACATCATGGAAATATCAAAAGAAATCAGCCAAGACCTCAGAAAAAAAATGTTAGACCTCCACAAGTCTGGTTCAGGTACAAAAGTATCTATATTCACAGTAAAACAAGTCCTATATCGACATAACCTGAAAGGCCGCTCAGCAAGGAAGAAGCCACTGCTCCAAAACCGCCATAAAAAAGCCAGACTACGGTTTGCAACTGCACATGGGGACAAAGATCGTACTTTTTTGAGAAATATCCTCTGGTCTGATGAAACAAAAATAGAACTGTTTGGCCATAATGACCATCGTTATGTTTGGAGGGAAGAAGGGGGCAGCTTGCAAGCCGAAGAACTCCATCCCAACCGTGAAGCACGGGCGTGGCAGCATCATGCTGTGGGGGTGCTTTGCTGCAGGAGGGACTGGTGCACTTCACAAAATAGATGGCATCATGAGGAAGGAAAATTATGTGAATATCTGAAGACATCAGACAGGAAGTTAAAGCTTGGTCGCAAATGGGTCTTCCAAATGAACAATGACCCCAAGCATACTTCCAAAGTTGTGGCAAAATGGCTTAAGGACAACAAAGTCAAGGTATTGGAGTGGCCATCACAAAGCCCTGACCTCAATCCTATACAACATTTGTGGGTAGAACTGAAAAAGTGTGTGCGAGCAAGGAGGCCTACAAACCAGGCTACCCGAAACGTTTGACCCAAGTTAAACAATTTAAAGGCAATGCTACCAAATAATAATTGAGTGTATGTAAACTTCTGACACACTGGGAATGTGATGAAAGAAATTAAAGCTGAAGTAAATCATTATCTCTACTATTATTCTGACATTTCACATTCTTAAAATAAAGTGGTGATCCTAACTGACCTAAAACAGGGAATTTTTACTAGGATTAAGTGTCAGGAATTGTGAAAAACTGAGTTTAAATGTATTTGGCTAAGGTGTATGTAAACTTCCGACTTCAACTGTACAATTAAAACATTAGAAAGCGCATAAATCAACTCGGCAGGTTCAGCTCTACAGAAGCCCATAGCTTGTTTCTTCAAATTTCATTGACGCAAATTATGAGGGCACACAATTAAAATTCGGAATAACGGCACAGCTATTTATAGCCTATTTCACTGTGGAAATGGGGCTGCAATACATGTCATGTTGATATGTTTTCAGTTTGCTTCCATATGACTGGCTTCACATTCTTCTCCAGTGATCATAAGGATAAATAATCTAAAACAATTGCTATGTGTATTTACAATCCCCTTCTCTAAACGGATTACTCACTTACCTGGCTCTTATCAATAGCTCTTATCATTTTATAAATTACAGTGCATGGAGAATGCTGTTATTTCTATAAAAAATAAAAAAAAGTAGATACTTTTCCCACTTGAAACCGGCAGATTCGTTCGACCTTATTCATGGTTTCCTTGGCATAAAGGTGGTGGAATTATGAGGGAATTAAGTCAAAGTCAGAATATGGCGTATCTGTGGACACACCTCCGCCACACCTCCATTTCTTAGATCTCCACCCTGAACAAATAGCGGGTGAATAGCATGCTTTTCTCATAGAGAGAAAAGTACATATAAAGGGAATTACGTTCCATTTATGTGCTCTTAATTCAGGTCAGAATCGGACCCATGAGCAGCAGGCATTGTTCTATAAAGTGCTATGAGTCAGTGTGACTCTTCTTATGGAGTTAATGGACATCTGTATGAATGGCTACCAGCTTTCGGACAGCGATTTGTTCATATAATGTCGGTTAACCGAGAACTAAAGTCCCCAGCAATTGGTCAGCTGCTTGATTAAGTTCTGGGTCCATACATGTTAAGAGAAGAGATTAAGAGATGCTAGAATGAGGAGCGGAACAAGGAGCTCCACCCTATCTCTTTGAAAGTTATGGCAGAATGTCCACTCCACTTCCGAAAATCTAAAGATGCAAACACCTGTGAAATCGTGATTTGTCCAAATAACCAGTGCCGAAAAACCCAAACACTGGAACTTCTGCTGCTTGTTATCCCACGCATCCCATTCCTTCCCCACAGTTATGTTTACGTAGATCTGTCCACGAGAAATTAATTTTCATACAACAATCTTTGAGACAAAAAAAGAAGAAACCTGCACACTGCTCTTGATAGTATCACTGCTCTTTAATAAGCTTTACGTATCAGCCTCAAGGCCTTCATCAGAGCTTTTGTGAGTTTTTTTAATTAGCACCCTTATGTAGACATAGCCCCACCCACATCCGTTTCACGCATTGAATGGTCTTGGAGTTGAGGGAAAACAAGTAAGTGCTACCAAATATAACAATGTGCATTTCATAAATATTCTAATAGTGTATACATAAACGTATTAAACACCAATGAGGACATTGACCCACTAAACAAGTTTTCATAAATCATTGGGTACAGCGCAAGAAATACATCAGAGTAATCTGAAATGGGGGCATTAATTCATATTCACAACATACATAGGCATTTCATCATTAAGACCTTTAGGAAATAATGTCTGAAGGTTGAAAATCCAAAAACATTCTCTTTTGCTCAGAGTATTATTTATATAATCTCCCCTGTCTGATATCTTAACTTTCTCCATGCCACAAAGGTAGAAATGTAATGTTTTAGGTCATTAAAATTGTCACGTTTGTTTAAAGACGGGTCGGAACAAGGCGCAGCGTGATATGCGTACATGTTTATTTAACGATAAACACACGACAAAACAACAAAGGAAACGAAACGTGAAGTCCAAAGGTACAACACAACAAACCTTACACGGAACAAGATCCCACAACTAGACAGTGCCAAAAGGCTGCCTAAGTATGGGCCCCAATCAGAGACAACGAGCGACAGCTGCCTCTGATTGGGAACCACACCGGCAACATAGAAATACACATACTAGAATACCACACATAGAAAAGCACAACAAGGAATATACACACCCTGACTTAACATATACGAGTCAGGGCGTGACAGTACCCCCCCACCAAAGGTGCGGACTCCGACCGCACAACATAAACATAACAGGGTAGTGGCCGGGTGGGCATTCCGCCTCGGAGGCGGATCCGGCTCCGGGCGTGACAACCTCTTACTCTCCGCCTCCCTGTTTCGCCCCTGGTCTGGTCTGGACCTCGGCGCGCTGCTTCCCCTCTCCTTCCTCCCGTGATACGCCAGGCCACGTCTGGACCCTGGTGTGGGAGACCCCGAACCTGGAGAGGGGCTGACGTCATGGTCTGGACTGGAGCCGCTGACCGGAGCTGGACACCGGTGGAGCGGACTGCTCTGGCTCCGGAGTGGAGCCGCTGACCGGTGCCGAACCAGGCACCGGTGGAACAGGCACGGGCCGTGCCGGAATGGCGACGCGCACCACTGGCTTGGTGCGAGGAGCAGGAACAGGCCGGGCCGGACTGGCGACGCGCACCACTGGCTTGGTGCGAGGAGCAGGAACAGGCCGGGCCGGACTGGGAACACGCACCACTGGCTTGCTGCGAGGAGCAGGAACAGACCGGGCTGGACTGGGAACATGCACCACTGGCTTGGTGCAAGGAGCAGGAACAGGCCGGGCCGGACTGGGAATACGCACCACTGGCTTGGTGCGAGGAGCAGGAACAGACCTGGCCGGACTGGCGACGCGCACCACATGCTTGGTGCGAGGAGCAGGAACAGGCCGGGCCGGACTGGGAACACGCACCACTGGCTTGGTGCGAGGAGCAGAAACAGGCCGGGCCGGACTGGGAACACGCACCCCTGGCTTGGTGCGGGGAGCAGGTACGGGGCATACCGGACTGGGAACCGGCGCTGGAGGTCTATGACTGTCTCCGTCCTTTACACTCCGCGCCCCATCCTCCTCCAGTGAGGACTCCTCCTTGAGCCCCCATGAGTGCAGTGGTCGGGGCTCCTCTCTGTCGCTCCCCGACCACCCTTTTAGCCCCCACATTTTTTTTTCTTGGGGCTGTCTCTCCTTCTCCACCCTGATCCCTTTCAGGGCCTCCATCTGCCTTGCCAGTTAATCTCTTATCTCCCGCCAAGTCCATACTCTCTGCTCCTCCACCTGTGTCCAGGGTGTCTGCTGCTCCTGGGCACGCTGCTTGGTCCTCGTTTGGTGGGATCTTCTGTCACGTTCGTTTAAAGACGGGTCGGACCAAGGCGCAGCGTGATATGCGTACATGTTTATTTAACGATAAACACACGACAAAACAACAAAGGAAACGAAACGTGAAGTCCAAAGGTACAACACAACAAACCTTACACGGAACAAGCTCCCACAACTAGACAGTGCCAAAAGGCTGCCTAAGTATGGTCCCCAATCAGAGACAACGAGCGACAGCTGCCTCTGATTGGGAACTACACCGGCCAACATAGAAATACACATACTAGAATACCACACATAGAAAAGCACAACAAGGAATATACACACCCTGACTCAACATATACGAGTCCCCTGAGTCAGGGCGTGACAAAAATGTACTGCGACTGGATAATCCCTGTCATTTCTCCTGATTGAACTTTTATGTTCACAAATTCTCTGTTTGAGAGAACGAGAGGTTTTACCTACATAACAAAGCCCACATGGACATTTAATCATGTAGATAACATGGGTGGTGGAGCATGTAATAATGTCATTTATTTGGAACCGTTTTCCTGTATGTGGGTGGCAGAAATATTCACACTTCATCATACAACAATCTTTACAATGAACTTGTTTAAAAAAAGTTTAGAAAATCACATTGTCATGAAAAATTTGTATAAAAAGGCACATTTTGGAGTTCCATTGCTCTATCAAATATTAAAAACACAATGACTGTCTTTCTCTTAATATGTCCCCAAATAAATCATATAAAACCAAACACTAGGTTAATCCCTTTTAGAATACTTCTTTAAGTACTCAGTTAATAATGCATCAGATGTAAAATTGGCAGATAGGTTTGGAGCGTGGACGAGAGCCTTGGCGTAGAGGCTTCTGCTCAGCATCACAATCTCTCTTGTTCCTTTCAACATCACCCTCCTTCCTGTCCCTTTCACTCTGATGAACCTCCCCATCTTCATTTCTGATGCCCCCCTCGCTACCACATTTTCTTTGCATTTTCTTAATCTTACTCCCACGCTTTTGCTCAGCTCTTTCCCGCTTACTCCCCAACTCCCTGTCTTTGTTTTCCCTCCTGGACATGCTCTCTGTCACTCCTTCCTCCTTAAAGGCCCCTTTAGCTGTCTCTCTCTCAACCCCACTCTTTCTTTTCACCTCAGATTCCTCCTTTGTCTTCCCCCTCTCCGAGTCTCCCTTTAAGTCAGCACTGTACTTATCTTTACTTCCCCTATCCATCTCTGCTCTCCAGTTCCTAACCCCCCTCTCTACCTCCCCCATTTGAGTCTTCCTCCTTCTCTCCATTTCACCTGTTTCAGTTATGCTCCCACTCTTCAGATCTTTACTGCGTCTTCTCCCTGGAACAATCTCTGGTATTTCATCTCTACTGCCTCTCTCCCTCTGACTCCTCTTCTGGATTTTCTCTTTGTCAGTCTTGCTGCTATGTCTGCTTGAGTTTCCTCTTTCAGAAGTTTCCCTCACCACAACCACTTGTATCTTAGTCTCCAATCCAGCTACTTTTTGTTCCTTCAATCTTTCACTCTTCCCCCTTTCAGACTCTACATTTTCATTCGAAATCCCTCTCTTTGTATCAGTTGGCTCATTTTTATTCCCTCTACCTTTTTGTTTTTCAATCTCGTTTGCCTTTTCTTCACCCTCCTCATTCGTACTGCCTCTGTTATTTCCTTTCTCGTTTTTGCTCTCAACATTTCCTTTTTCATTGGCGTTTCTACTCTCTATTCCTTCCTCTTTCTTTTTCCCTTTCTCAGATCCTTTTTTATTAGGAACACTGCTATTATCACCTTTCACACTACCACTAGTGTCTCCACTCTCACTCGTCCGCTCTTTCTCCATCTCCACTTTCTCAGTCTCACACAACGTCTCCAATTCGATTGTTTTACTTTTAGTTCTCGCCTCCTCCTCTCTGTTCTCTTTCTTACTATCCTTCTTTTTACTATTCTTCTCCTCCTCAATTTCCCTTTCCTCACTCTTATCTGACTCCTTCTTGCTTTTATTCAATTTCTGTTCCTCCTGGACCTTCTTGTTCAACTTCTCCTCTAACTGGTCCAGGTCCTGCTCCAGCTGAGCTAGTTTAACTGGGTCTGACTCTAGCTCATCATCCACTTCCACCTCCACTTCCTCCTCCTCCTCGTACTCTTCCAGCTCGATCCCATCTATGGTTTTCTGCAGCTGGGCTTTCACTTTGTTCAGCTCCAGTAGCCCGTCCTGCAGGTCCTTGCACATCTCTCGGATCTTGGTGGCGAACTTTGTCTTGGCGCCCTTGGACAGCTCGTGAGAGTCCTTGGCGAGGAAGAAGACGTCAAGTGCGAGGAAGAGAGCCGACATGACGCCTGTGGTGACGCTGATGGCCTTAACAGCTTTGGCGGCCCCACCTGCCGCGCCTAGAACCTGCACGGTGCTGATGAGCTTGTCTGTGTTGATCATCAGTTTCTTTCCGGCCCGCCCCCCCTCCTTCATCACATGCTTTATGTTGTGGTTCAGAGCCTTCTTGTTGGCACTCTCAGTGTACTTTTCAAAGTTCCCCTCCTGCAGAGCTTCCATACCTTCCTGCAGACACACAGAGAGAAAGGACATTTGAGAGATAGAGGAGGGGGAGGAGTGTGTATGTGTATACAGTATGTGAATATGCATGCGTGTGCCAGTTAGTGAGTAAGTGAGAGAGAAAGAACAGTAACCTACCTGTACAAACTCCATACACTCCCTGATGTCCTTGATCTCCTCCTGGTAGCCCTGGATCATCTTCGCCACTTTCTTGCAGTCCATGTTGGAGTGCACTGTATCCGTGATGTTGGCCGTTGCCGAGGCGATGCTTCCAGCGGTCGCCACGGAGATGCCTACAGCGGTGACGATGATGGAGGCTCCGAAGGTGAAGGGGGCAAGGATGAGGCCGGTGATGGTGGCCACACTGCCACACACGCTGGCCACGCCTCCCCCCACAGCGGCCGCCACCGTCCTCTTGTGGAACTGGTCAGCAGCATCGGCCTGGGCCAGCAGCTCCAGGATACGGCCCTGCAGCGACGCTCCCCGCTGGTTGAAGAGACGCACAAACAGCTGAGCCGCCATGAACACACGGTCAGCCACCTGCTCCACCTCCCTGCGGGAAAGAAGGAGGGAGAGACAAAGACGTTTTAAAAACTTTCCATTTCAACAGAAGATGGACAATTAATTTTTGAACTTAAGCGTAAGAGACAGAGAGATGAATGACTCACATATCTGCTTCATCCTCTTGGAAATTGGATGTTTCATTCCATTGCTCCCAACCTGGTAACCCACAACACAAGAGTTAGACTTTTATCACACTTCTCCAACACATAAATATTCCCTCAGCCACTTAAATGCACGCACAGACATACAGAAATAGTTTGATGTGGAAACACACCTTCGACTGCTCTCCACCAGTCCAACAGGCCATCACTCTCCTGGAAAAGAAACAACAATGAGAAAACATGTCAGTCATTTCCAAATCAGAGAGTGAGAGTGTGAATGAGTGACAGACACACAGATATCTCTTCAGACTCCAAAAGGTTGATTCCGTCAGTGGGGTATGCTGCCATCTCCACAGGCTGGATCTCTACTGTGCTCTCCTGAAACAGACAGACACACATCAGACCACTGGACACAGGCAACATATACAGCACCAGTATGCATGATACACATGTTCTATAGCTGACCTGCAGTGGGGCCAGCCACTGCATCTCCACAGCCTCCTCAATGATAGGATCCTTATCAGAGTCCTGAGGGGGAAATCATAAAAACACAGCATCTATTTTACTACTACGGTATTACAAACGATTTTACATATAGGGGTATTAAGTGATGGACTGAGTTGGAGGGGTTGAGGAACGTAAGAAGAAATAGCAATACCCGAGCAGCAGTACGTTTTGGAATCCTTGGGAGTGTTCTTTTCACTTGGAATGACACAACCTGAGAAGCAACTTTGATTTAATATTCAACATAACAAATAACAAAATAATTAATAGTACATAGTAAAAGTATGGCCTCAATTAAAACCAACTGGGACCAGTTAAGCAACTGTATTGAGTAGTGACATGAGTGAAATCTCTGAAATCATGGGTCAATCATGGGTCGATTCACCTAAATAACTGATCACTCACCCGTCTCTTCCTCTTGATTGTCCTCCGGCGCCTCAGCTGACTACCTCCCACAGGTGTCTCTGTGTCCGTACTGTCCTAATAGAGCGAGAAAGATAGGACGTGTTAACATGACATTGTTCTCTGTTCTGACAAGTGTGTAAACTGCATAGTAACATGTATTAGTTGGCTACAGTTGCTAATGCTACATGCTAATGCTCGTGTTACATGTCTGTAATTACCTGTTGCTCGACAGGTTTAGGAGTTCTCCTGAAGATTCCTCCAAACCCTCCTTTTTTATCCTGTGTCAAAAAGACATACACAGTAAACACACAAGGCAAATTGGTGGGTTAACAAAGTGATGATAAAGGTAGGTGTAGGTAAAATAAGGTGAAAGACTCACTTTGCTGGTGGTTGTAGTGTCGGAAAGACTATCATTGCTGGCTGAAAGTCCTCTTTGTGCAGAGAGATTTTTCTACAAAAAAGATAAAGGTGTCATTTTCTAAAACATACTTAATTATATGAAATCAAAATGTATTAATACATAAATGTAAGTATACAAAATCTTACCTTAATTGTGGTGAAGTCTGAGAGGCTGTCATTGCTGGCAGAGAGTTCCTTGTACTCAGTGAGAGGGTCCTGACAAATGTAGAACACAGGGTCACCATAAACATTAATTTGATTGTACATTGATACTGTTACAAAGAACACCAGAAGAGTGACAACTTTACTACCTTAGTAACAGTGGATCGTGGGGATGGCTTTGGCGACGGCCTTGGAGACCTTTTGAAAATCCCAGTGAGTCCTCCTGTTTTGTCCTACATCAGATACAGAGGGAGTTAATACACTAACAGCTACTAGAAGTTCCAGACAACAGAGGCAACCCTTTCAGAGTAGGTTACCTTGCTTTCTGAGCGGTTGTCATTACAGTCTGTTCCCAAATTTGAATCCTGAATTCAAAACAAAAGTACAGTAAGCCTCCAATGTGAATGAATCAGAGATATCTTGAAGCAGAGACCTCTTTCTCCCCTCTCTCTCCAGATGACATCCTGCGACTAGTGAGGTCTGGCCGCCCGACAACCTGCCTGCCCGCTCGACCCCATCCCCTCTCCAGACCATCTCTGGAGACCTTCTCCCATTCCTCACTTCCCTCATCAACTCATCCCTGACGACTGGCTGTGTCCCCTCTGACTTCAAAATGGCCTGAGTTTCTCCCTCCTCAAGAAACCAACACTCCCTCATCTGACGTCAAAAACTATAGACCTGTATCCTTTCTTTCTTTTCTTTCCAAAACACTTGAGTATGCTGTCTCTGATGAACTTTCTCGTTATTTCTCTCAGAACGATCTTCTTGAGCCTAACCAGTCAGGCTTCAAGACGGGTCACTCAACTGAGACTGCTCTTCTCTGTGTCACGGAGGCTCTCCGCACTGCCAAAGCTGACTCTCCTCTGTACTCATCCTCCTAGATCTATCCGCTGCCTTCGACACCATGAACCATCAGATCCTCCGCTCCACCTTCTGAGGGCTAGGCATTTCAGGCTTTGCACACTCATGGATTGCTTCCTACCTGGCAGGCCGCTCCTACCAGGTGACGTGGAGTACTCTCACTACTGGTGTCCCAGAAGGCTCGGTCGTAGGCCCTTTCCTCTTCTCTCTATACACCAAGTCACTTGGCTCCATCATACCCTCACATGGTCTCTCCTATCATTGCTATGCGGATGACACTCAACTACTTTTCTCCTTCCCCCCTTCTGACACCAAGGTGGCGACACACATCTCTGCGTGCCTGGCAGATATCTCAACTTGGATGTCAGCCCACCACCTCAAGCTCAACCTCGACAAGACGGAACTGCTCTTCCTCCCGGGGAAGGCCTGCCCGCTCAAAGACCTCTCCATCACGGTTGACAACTCCACAGTGTCGCCCTTCCAGAGTGCAAAGAACCTTGGCGTGACCCTGGACAACACCCTGTCATTCTCTGCAAACATCAAAGCAGTGACCCACTCCTGCAGGTTCATGCTCTACAACATCCGTAGAGTATGACCCTACCTCACACAGGAAGCGGCACAGGTCCTAATCCAGGCACTTGTTCTCTCCCGCTTATGCCATCAAACCCCTGCAAACCGCTGCAGGCCGCCTGGTGTCCAACCTTCCCAAGTTGTCTCATGTCACCCCACTCATCCGCACAATCCACTGTCTTCCAGTCAAAGCTTGCATCCACTACAAGACCATGGTGCTTACCTATGGAACAGCAAGAGGAACTGCCCCTGCCTACCTTCAGGCTATGCTCAAACCCTACACCCCAACCCGAGCACTCCGTTCTGCCACCTCAGGTCTCTTGGCCCTCCCACCCTTACGGGAGGGCAGCTCCCGCTCAGCCCAGTCCAATCTCTTCTCTGTCCTGGCAGCCCAATTGTGGAACCAGCTTCCCCCTGAAGCTAGGACAGCAGAGTACCTGCCCATCTTCAGAAAACATCTGAAATCCTACCTCTTCAAACAGTATCTTAAATAATCCTCCTCCTCACCTCGTTGATTTTCTCAATTGAAATAAAATATAAAGGTGGTTCTGGAAGTATTCTTATGGGTTGATTATTAGGTTGCATAAACATGATGAGTACTTTCCCCCCTCAATTTTGGCTTTCAAATTTGTTTTCTAAACATACAGTGCATTCAGAAAGTATTCAGACCTCTTCACTTTTTCCACATTTTGTTACGTAACAGCCTTCTTCTAAAATTGATTAAATTGTTTTTTCCCTCATCAATCTTTACACAATCTATACCTTTGGCAGTGATTACAGCCTTGCGTCTTCTTGGGTATGACACTACAAGCTTGGCACACCTGTATTTGGGGAGATTCTCCCATTCTTCTCTGCAGATCCTCTCAAGCCCTGTCAGGTTGGATCGGGAGCGTCGCTGCACAGCTATTTTCAGGTCTCTCCAGAGATGTTCGATCGGGTTCAAGTCAGGCTCTGGCTGGGCCACTCAAGAACATTCAGAGGCTTGTCCCGAAGCCACTCCTAAATTGTCTTGGCTGTGTGCATAGGGTCGTTGTCCTGTTGGAAGGTGAACCTTTGCCCCAGTCTGAGGTCCTGAGCGCTCTGGAGCAGGTTTTCATCAAGGATCTCTCTGAACCTTGCTTTGTTAATCTTTCCCTTGATCTTGACTAGTCTCCCAGTCCCTGCCACTGACAAACATCCCCACAGCATGATGCTGCCACCACCATGCTTCACTGCAGGGATGGTATTGGCCAGGTGATGAGCGGTGCCTGGTTTCCTCCAGACGTGACGCTTGGCATGCAGGCCAAATAATTAAATCTAGGTTTCATCAGACCTGAGAATCTTGTTTCTCATGGTCTGAGAGTCCTTTAGGTGCCTTTTGGCAAACACCAAGCAGCTGTCATGTGCCTTTTACTGAGGAATGGCTTCCATCTGGCCACTCTACCATAAAGGCCTGATTGGTGGAGTGCAGCAGAGATAGTTGTCCTTCTGGAAGGTTCTCCCATCTCCACAGAGGAACTCTGGAGCTCTGTCAGAGTGAGCATTGGGTTCTTGGTCACCTCCCTGACCAAGTCCCGTCTCCCCTGATTGCTCCGTTTGGCTGGGTCGGCCAGCTCTAGGAAGAGTCTTAGTGGTTCCAAACTTCTTCCATTTAAGAATGATGGAGGCCGCGGTGTTCTTGGGGACCTTCAATGCTGCAGACATTTTTTGGTAAACTTCCCCAGATCTGTACCTCGACACAATCCTGTCTCGGAGCTCTACGGACAATTCCTTCGACCTCATGCTTTGGTTTTTGCTCTGACATACTCTGTCAATTGTCAACCTTATATAGACAGGTGTGTGCCTTTCCAAATCATGTCCAATCAATTGAATTTACCACAGGTGGACTCCAATCAAGTTGTAGAAACATTTCAAGGATGATCAATGGAAACAGGATGCAACTGAGCACAACTTCGAGTCTCATAGCAAAATGTCTGAATCCTTATGTACATAAGGTATGTTTTTTATTTTTTATAAATTTGCAAATATTTATAAAAACCTATTCGCTTTGTGATAATGGGGTATTGTGTGTAGATTGAGGATTTGTTTAAAAAAATCTATTTTAGAATAAGGCTGTAACGTAGCACAATGTGGAAAAAGTGAAGGGGTCTGAATACTTTCCGAATGCACTTTAAATAAGGAGGATAGGTTGCTGCTGCTGGTCAGAGTCTGTGAGACAGGCATGCTGCCTCTGACTGGTGAGAGAAACAGGCCTGAGTTTCAGAGAAACAGGCCTTTTCCAATTATGTAGCCTACTGGAAACCAGTTGTTATAATACTAGCAAAGTTGTCTTTGAACACACAAAATTGAGCCCAATATAACCATGACCAATTATCACTATTTGTTTTAGAAATACTGCTCACACTCGAGATACACATCTCATCATCTTGCAATAGAAACTTTCTCCATTTGAAAAATATAATTTTCTATATAATTGTTATGAATTGACCATGTTAAATGTGACTGTACTTATTATTTGTTTCAAGTTAGCTCACATAATTAAGGGTTTGTTAAGAAGAGAGAGGAGAGAGAGAGAAAGAGAGGAGCTATTGCTCCATTTCACTTACAAGCCTTATGCAACTTTTTTCCCCCTTCACAAACCATGGCCTCTGAGCACCGGGCCAAACCAAAAGCATAATCAAATGAGGAATTGAGTAGTACTGTGTAGTGTAAAGTCACAGAAAGCCAGTAGCTTTAGTGGGAAACTTATTTCCAATCCATCAAATTCATCATGGTATATTATTGAGGGGGTCAAATTGGCCTGTCTGGCTGTATCTATTCAGGCCAGTGTATTTATCTCCTGTATATCATATTCATTATCTCTCCGTTTCTGTCCATTACAGAACCATCCCCATGTACATCCCCATGTTCATCTTCCTCAGTGTGTTTAAATAAAATTCCTGTGTGTATTAACTCTTGGGCTGCTTTATACCCCTCTAACCGGGGGCGGTGTCATAAACCAGTAAAATACGTAGAGCCGGGTCGCTCTCTTTCAGCAATCCTCTCTCCCTACAATTTCATGTTTGCGCTGCACCTGATCCTATAGCTGTACAGCAAATCAGCAATCTGTTCACTAGCTCACCCAACCTGTGTTGATTGACAGTTTGCTGGTCCAATCCGAGGGCAGAGTGTGCATTTCACTAGCCTTGTGCATGTTCTTTTTGCAAGGGCGATGCTGCGGCTACTGTCTTTGGCTTCGTGGAGAGTAATCCACAGAGACTCTGTGCCATAGAATGAGTGACAAAACATTACAAAACCTGACCAGATAATTTCAAGTCATCAGTCTCAAGTCAAAGTCGAGTCCCAAGTCTTGAGGCTCCAAGTCCATGTCAAGTCTCTAATTTATTTTCAATCAAGTCGAGCCTCAAGTCATCAGATTTGTGACTCCAGTCAGACTCCACAACTCTGCCTACGTGTATCGTGCCCCATGAGAGGAAACAACGTGCTGGGCCATGTCTACACAAACACCTGTGATGCATACAAAACCATCCCCCACCCCCACTTCGGCCAATCAGATCACATCTCTCTGTTCCTACCCCCCGCCTACAAGCAGGAACTCAAGAGGGAGCCACCAACACAGAGAATAATGAGGCCCTGGACAGAGGAGGCAGACTCAATGCTGCAGGAGTGTTTTGAGAATACTGATTGGAATATGTTCAAAGATTCATCCACCCAGAACTCATCCTTCAACACTGAGGAATATACATCTTCAGTCACAGGCTTCATTAGGAAATGTGTTGATGTTGTACCCACAATAACAATTCAGACATACCCCAACAAAAATCCATGGCCATGTCCTCAGAAGCCCCATTTATACCTGGATCTAACATACGTCCTTTATTCTGATCTTGTCCACATTTTGATTCTGCCCACATTTTTGGACAGGTGTAGACGATAAAAAGACTAATCGTGATCTGATTGTGATCAGATCTTCCTGACCACTTCAAGAGGTAGACAGACACGCATTGTATTTGGATATCTTACATTTACATTTTAGTCATTTAGCAGACGCTCTTATCCAGAGCGACTTACAGTTAGTGAATTTTTTTTTTTTTTTTTTTAATATACTGGCCCCCCGTGGGAATCAAACCCACAACCCTGGCGTTGCAAACGCCATGTTCTATCAACTGAGCTACATCCCTGCCGGCCATTCCCTCCCCTACCCCGGACGACGCTGGGCCAATTGTGCGCCGCCCATGAGTCTCCCGGTCGCGGCCGGCTGCGACAGAGCCTGGATTCGAACCAGGATCTCTAGTGGCACAGTTAGCACTGTGATGCAGTGCCTTAGACCACTGCGCCACTCAGGAGACTTAGAAGTGTAGACGGATCTGGACAGTGAAACTATTTAAATCATCATTATCCCACCCTCTAAAATCATGGACAGGTGATGCCATTGACTTAAGGCATCAATGTCTTAAAATAAATCAATAAATATTATTTTGAAATAATATCTGTCAAACAATTTGCATACAGGGGGGGACCAGGATATTTGGTCACAATAAGGACACAGTGGACAGATAAGATGTGACGTGCACGATCAGAATGTGGATAATATCAGGACAAAGGAAGCATGTTAGCACCAGGTATAAACGAGGCTAGAGTGTTCGCTGACCAAACATCTTCAACCCGTCCTTGTCCCAGGCTGTAGTCCCCACTTGCTTCAAGGAGACCACCATCATCCCAGCGCCCAAGAAAACCAAGGTGACATTGTAGGGCAGACCCCGAAGTTACTCTTCTTATCAACTGTATGCAAGAATTTCCTCTATGTTGTCTTAGGAATTCAGCATTTTCTGTATTATCTCTCCAACCCCCATTGTGTCACCTCTGAGATGCAGAGGTTACATCCTATAAGTCTGATATCTGATTGGAGGTTAACTTTACAGTAATAGTATTGGTCTACAAATCAGTTTTTGAATCCAAACATCTCAGATGCTTATAAAAGGGTCTCCAATTCGTTGTTATTTATTTTTTGTTCCTGAACTGCTGTGGTGAGATACTCTCTCTGTTTCTTTCTCTCTCCACCCCATGGACTTTTGGGGCATGGCCTTTCAGGCTATGATTTCTCTCTCTCTCTGACCATGCTTAGAATAATGACTTGTAATGCTTGTTAATGCCTTGTAACTTAAGCTACAATACACTTGTATTTAGAATTCTGTTCTCAGATATTTCTTCATTGCTTATTACTGTAACTCAACCATAGTCCCTTGCAAATAACTAATTATCTTTATGGAGTCAGATAAACATTTGAATAGGCTAATTGCTTAGTGATATGAGGTTTTTATAGTGTTGTGGGAAACCAAGGTAGAGTTAGTGGATAAGTGACTTGGTGCTACAGAGTCTGCATTCCTTATGTCAAAGGAGATTACTGATGTTGATTTTAGAATGATTGATGGACAGGATATACTGACTTGGGGTAAAGGGTAATAACATCAAAGAAGGGAGTGCCCACTGATGGGTACCAGATGTGTTGAAGAAACGTGTAACAGAGTGTATATAAGCTGATATATCTTCTGTGTTCAGAGAGTTCGGAAAAGCAAGAGGCAAAGCTATGTCCTTCTGTTGTTATAACGAACCATGATACCTATTAAATACTCATATGAACTCCCCATCAAAAGTCTCTAAGTATATCCTTAATTACTTGATACCCGAGAAACTCATCATAACACTTAGTCTTATTACAAGTCGCATGTGATGTACAGTACCAGTCAAAAGTTTGGACACACCTGCTCATTCAAGGGTTTTTCTTTATTTTTACTATTTTCTACATTGTAGAATAATAGTGAAGACATCAAAACTATGAAATAACACATATGGAATCATGTAGTAACCAAAAAAGTGTTAAACAAATCAAAGTATATTTGAGATTCTTTAAATAGCCACCCTTTGCCTTGATGACAGCTTTGCACACTCTTGGCATTCTCTCAACCAGCTTCACCTGGAATGCTTTTCCAACAGTCTTGAAGGAGTTCCCACATATGCTGAGCACTTGTTGGCTGCTTTTCCTTCACTCTGCCGGCCGACTCATCCCAAACATCTCAATTGGGTTGAGGTTGGGGGATTGTGGAGGCCAGGTCATCTGATATAGCACTCAATAACTCTCCTTTGTGGTAAAATAGCCCTTACACAGCCTGGAGGTGTGTTGGGTCATTGTCCTGTTGAAAAACAAATGATAGTCCCACTAAGCCCAAATCAAATGGGATGGCATATCGCTGCAGAATGCTGTGGTAGCCATGCTGGTTAAGTGTGCCTTGAATTCTAAATAAATCACAGACCGTGTCACCAGCAAAGCACCCCCACACCATAACACCTCCTCCTCCATGCTTTACGGTGGGAACTACACATGCAGAGATAATCCGTTCACCCACACCACGTCTCACAAAGACACGGCAGTTGGAACCAAAAATCTCAAATTTGGACTCCAGACCAAAGGGCAAATTTCCACTGGTCTGATGTCCATTGCTCATGTTTCTTGGCCCAAGCAGGTCTCTTATTATTATTGGTGTCCTTTAGTAGCAATTTGACCATGAAGGCCTGATTCACACAGTCCCCTCTCAACAGTTGATGTTGAGATGTGTCTGTGACTTGAACTCTGTGAAGCATTTATTTGGGCTGCAATTTCATAGTCTGGTAACTCTAATGAACTTATCCTCTGCAGCAGAGGTAACTCTGGATCTTCCATTCCTGTGGTGGTCCTCATGAGAGCTAGTTTCATCATAGCACTTGATGGTTTTTGCGACTGCACTTGAAGAAACTTTCAAAGTTCTTGACATTTTCTGGATTGACTGACCTTCATGTCTTAAAGTAATGATGGACTGTCATTTCTCTTTGCTTATTTGAGCTGTTCTTGCCATAATATGGACTTGGTCTTTTACCCCCCCCCCCCCCCCCCCCCCCCTCCCCCAAAGGGTGGCTATTTGAAGAATCTCAAATTTAAAATATATTTTGATTTGTTTAACACTTTTTGGGTTACTACATGATTCCATGTGTGTTATTTCATAGTTTTGATGTCTTCACTATTATTATACAATGTAAAAAATAGTAGAAATAAAGAAAAACCCTTAAATTAGTAGCTGTGTCCACACTTTTGACACATGTATCAGGGAAGGGGGGGCTCTGGCTGGGCCACTCAAGGACATTCAGAGACTTGTCCCGAAGCCACTCCTGCTTTGTCTTGGCTGTGTTTTTAGGGTCGTTGTCCTGTTGGAATGTGAACCTTCTCCCCAGTCTGAGGTGCTGAGCGCCCTGGAGCAGGTTTTCATCAAGGATCTCTCTGTACTTTACTCCGTTCATCTTTCCCTCGATCCTGACTAGACTCCCAGTCCCTGCCGCTGAAAAACATCCCCACAGCATAATGCTGCCACCACCATGCTTCACCGTAGGGATGGTGCCAGGTTTCCTCCAGACGTGACACTTGGCATTCAGGCCAAAGAGTTCTATCTTGGTTTCATCAGACCTGAGAATCTTGTTTCTCATGGTCTGAGAGTCCTTTAGGTGCATTTCTGGCAAACTCCAAGCAGGCTGTCATGTGCCTTTTACTGAGGAGTGGCTTCTGTCTGGCCACTCTACCATAAAGGCTTGATTGGTGGAGTGCTGCAGCGATGGTTGTCCTTCTAGAAGGTTCTCCCATCTCCACAGAGGAACTCTGGAGCTCAGTCAGAGTGACAATCGGGTTCTTGGTCACCTCCCTGACCAAGGCCCTTCTCCCCCGATTGCTCAGTTTGGACGGGCGGCCAGCTCTAGGAAGAGTCTTGGTGGTTCCAAACTTTGTCCATTTAAGAATGATGGAGGCCACTGTGTTCTTGGGGACCTTCAATGCTGCAAAAATGTTTTGGTACCTTACCCCATATCTGTGCCTCTACACAATCCTGTCTTGGATATCTACGGACAATTCCTTCGACCTCATGGCTTGTTTTTTGCTCTGACATGCACTGTCAATGTGGGAAATTATATAGACAGGTGTGTCCCTTTCCAAATCATGTCCAATCAATTGAATGAACCACAGGTGGACTCCAATCAAGTTGTAGAAACATCTCAAGGATGATCAATGGAAACAGGATGCCCCTGAGCTCAATTTCGAGTCTCACAGCAAAGGGTCTGAATACTTATGTAAACGAGGTATTTCTGTTTTTTATTTTGAATACATTTGCAAAAATGTCTAAAAACCTGTTTTCGCTTTGTCATTATGGGGTATTGTGTGTAGATTGATGAGGATATTTATTTATTTAATCCTTTTTAGAATAAGGCTGTAATGTAACAAAATGTGGAAAAAGGGAAAGGGTCTGAATACATTCCGAATGCACTGTATATCCCATAGAGATGAATTTATATTCAATCTCAGGACTAACATGTTTACCTCTTCTGGTTGGGAGGCTTCAGCAGTTTTAGGAGCCTTTTTGAACATTCCACTGAATATACCTTTACCCTGAAACACACGGATGCAGTTTAGAAAGTGTAACTAAAATCATGTCATCTGGAGATCAAGTTAGCGGAGTTCACTTCATACACAGTCTTACCTTAGGGTTGTTGTTGTCAGAGAGACTGTCATTACTGGCTGAGAGCTCACTGTTCAATGACTGCTTGTCCTATGAGACAATCAAGTGTTACTATAACAATCACCAAAAGTTATAAATATGACTGACTAGTCATGGTCAAATTAAGAGCTAATGTAGTCATGTGTAGTGATACTTTACCTCTTCTGGTTGAGAGCCTTCAGCAGCATGTTTAGGAGATTTCTTGAACATTCCACTGAATTTACTTCTCTCCTGAAACACACAGCGATAACTGATAATGGCAATATCCTGCTACAGGTATCTGGACATCTATTCTACTGACCATAGATAATACTCAACAAACCAGCTCACCTTAATAGTGTTGTTGTCAGAGAGACTGTCATTACTGGTTGAGAGCTCACTGTGTAATGACCGCTTGTCCTATGAGACAATTAAGTTCTACTTTAACAATAACAACGGTTAATAATAGACTGATAAATATAATTAATCATGGTCAAATTAAGAGCCAATATAGTCATCTCTAGATACCTTACCTCTTCTTGTTGAGAGCCTTCATCAACAGGTTTAGGAGATTTTGTGAACATTCCACTGAAGAAACGTCCTTTCTCCTGAAATACAAAAAGACAGTTTAGAAACCGTTTTTTTTTTTTTACCGTGTTGCCATATAATGTTATCTGGAAACATATTGTTTTGTCTGTAGACAATACTCCACCAAACCTCCTCACATTGGTGTTGTTGGTATCAGAAATGCTGTTGTTGCTGACTGAGAGCTTGCGTGTTGCAAGGTTGTCCTGGAACAGAACACAGTACTGTAGTTAGACAATTAACAGACTCTTGCAGTAAGTAACTAAAGCAAACAGACATGTTAGAGCTCACCTGTGCAGGTGTTTCATCTCCAGATGCTTTGGGGGTCTTTTTGAGTATTCCACTGAATAGCCCCTTTTTTTCCTTATAGGAGAAGACAGTGTCATTTGAATTTCCATTTGAATAAGTATAAAAATGTGGTTACTTATGTCATGTTCATAATGGTTATAATCTTTCCAGTGACCCAAGTGGTTTTCTAATCTTCTAAATGCAGTAACTCTGACTCACTGTACTTTTGTTGTTTTCAGACAGGCTGTCATCGCTGGCTGAGAGCTCGTAATATGTAGAGAGGTTTTCCTGGAACAGAAAACAGTAGAGCACTTAGAAAATGATCAGACTCTTACTGTAAGTAACTGAAACAAACAGACACATGTTGGTCACCAGATGAACTTAGACTCACCTGTGCAGGTGTTCCATCTCCAGACGCTTTCATTTTTTTCCTGAGGATTCCACTAAACATCCCTCCTTTCTCCTGTTAGAAGAAGACTGTCATTTCAATTGATCGTAAATCACTTGTATACTCATGTTCATATCGATATTTCTGTGCAGAAGACCCAAGTATGCAGTAACTCTGTCTTACCTTAGGGTTGTTGTTGTCAGCCAGACTGTCGTTGCTGGCTGAGAGCTCACTGTGTAATGACCGCTTGTCCTGGGACATAACAGGGAAGAGTTATGAACAACAGTTACTTAAACAACAGTGCTCCAATTTAAGATACCCCCTTCTAGTTGAGTTAATTTGTTTTGTACGCACATTGAGTTGTTTTGCACACACAAGTGTGTTGTAACATGAGCAAACTCAGGTTACGTAACTAGCTACCAGTAGTATGTTCGCATATCATAAGCTGAACAAATAGAAAATGTAAGACTGGTCCAAGCCAAACACTTGACTTCGCTATATTACCTCAGGTTGAGAAGCATCAGCAGCAGGCTTGGGAGATTTTATGAACATTCCACTGAATATGCCTCCTTTCTCCTGAAACACAATAGTTTGCAATAAATAACAGAGGCTATTTTGTGAAGGACACTTCAGCAGATGTAAAGAACTGTCAAACCTTACTCACTTTACTGTTGTTGTTTGAAAGACTGTCATTGCTGGCTGATAGTTCACTGTGTAATGTCTGGTTGAGAAACAGATCGAGATACCTGTTCAGCCAGTGAGAATGCATAATAACATTTGCTATGGGGTACATTTGCTACACAAGTCAGCATATTTACAAGTAGGTCGGAAATAATAGTTAGAGTCACGTGTTGATCTCCAGAACACTCACCTCTGCAAGTGTGCCCTCTTGAGGAGCTTTGGGGGATTTTTTGAGGATTCCACTGAAAAGTCCTCCTTTTGCCTAATGGCATCAGAACATAATACTTTAGTCATAACCCTCTTACTGAGCAAGTGAATAGTTCTCAACTCTGCCTCACCTTAGGGTTATTGTTGTCAGAGAGACTGTCATTGCTGGCTGAGAGCTCACTGTGTAGTGACTGCTGGTCCTGTATGACAATGACAGGAAACACAAAGAGGAAATTATGTTATGTTCTGATGAAGTCGATTCATTCCGAAACATAAGCCTATTGTTTGTTTGTCCCGTCAATAAATCTATCAGATTTATGCAGAAACTGAGTGATCCTTTTCCTTTTATTCTCTTGGAGAGTCACCAGTTGAAGTGTCCTGGGGTAAGGAATGTTTTTTTAATTTTCAAGTCCCTCAGCACCTGATTCCCTTTTTTCTTTAAGCTGATGTTACCTGCACAGTGACAATTCATGAACAATTGAATTATTCATCTGTTCGCTTTACAGTTCATTGATATTAAATCAAGTTTAATGGCAACATAAAATACAGCACCTTTTCATTCCTAAGTCACTACAATAGTGGTTTAGTGTTGTGATTGTAGATTTTCAAGAGAACAGAAATCTTATACATCCTATCCACTACAGGTAAATAGTATACCGTATTACTTGACCTCTTCTGCTTGAGGTGGTTCTTCCGCAGGTTTGGAAGACTTCTTGAACATTCCACTGAAGATACCTCCCTTCTCCTGAAACACACAGAGGGACCATTTACACAGAACATCAACATGAAGTTATCAGAGGATCAAATTAATAGAGTTTAACGTTCCTTAAACCAGCTTACTTTGGTGTCGTTGTGGTCAGAGAGACTGTTGTTGCTGGCTAAAAGCTTACTGTGAACTGAGAGATTGTCCTGGAACAGAACATTACTATTTCAGTACAAAAAAGGATTAGTGCACAACTGGGTATCTACATATGCTACACACGTGTGCAGGTGTCCCTTCTCCAGCAGGTTTGGGGGATTTTCTGAGGATTCCACTAAACAACCCCACTTCTCCAGAACAATAGAGGAGATACATGAATGCAGTTAGACTTATTTGCATATTTCAAGATGACAAAATACCCAGGCTTGAAGTGTTTTTTTAATCATCCTAGCATGATACATACATGAGTGCTTTCAGCTGTCTTTTCTTGTGTGTCATTGGGATCACTATTTACTCTGCTGACCTAGGACCAATGAAAACAATGACACCTTGTAAGCGCTTCAAAATCACAGTTGTATTAGAGCACCCAACCAGAGAAGCTAACAACAGATAAACAAGAGGAAAATGTTACCGTCAGTGAAGGAGAAGAGAGTTTGTCTTTAGTTGCTTTCCGGAACATTCCTCCCATCAGTCCTCCTTTGTCCTGAAAGAGTGATATATGTTGAAAAACTTCAACTATTTAATAGCAAACTTTGTCTCTCATTGTTTCTCTAATACAATCGCATATGTTTAGTAGTCTATAGATATCACTCTCCTCTCTCACACACACTTGTTTGGCCTGAGTCAGTCTCTTCTTGGTGTTCTCTGAGGACTGCTCCTTTTCTAGGGTGGGCTCTTCAGGCTTCTCGTTATCTGACAGGTAGCTCTGAGAGAGAAGAGAAATTATAAGATCAATCATAAGGAAAACATGGGTGATTGGTGAGCAAACTAACTGACAGGTGTTTCTGCATCCACCATTACAAAGATAATCAGACACAGGTCTGTCCACTCACTGTGAAGGTAGGGGTTGGCTCTTTTTGTGATTTCTGAAACATTCCACCAAGACCCCCAAATTTGTCCTAAAAAAGATATCCATGATAAAGAGAGTGGTGCATTTGTATTCAACCTTTATTTATACAGATTATTCTAATTGAGATCAAATTTATTTTACAAGAGAGACCTGTAGAAAACATAGTTTTATTCTATGACACATTTCTCTTAAATGAAACCAGAACCACCAAACACATACGTGCTTGAAGTCGGTCTCATCTTCTTGGGGATCAGAGGCCTTAATCTGTGAAATGTCAATTTCTGGTTTGAGACTAAAGGCCTGAGACGGTTCAAACTAAGGCAGAGGAAAATGACACGTCATTGTTGAAATCTGTGCGTGTGTGCATGCACCTTTATGTGCTCTGCCTGCGTCCTCTTGCGACTGCTGTTTCTGGCCATAACATTCAGTTCCTGATATTACCCGCATACCCATGAGCAAAAAGATAAGAATTCACTGAGGTATGAAACATTTAGATTTACTGGCCATGTCTCTCTATGGAATCTCTCTGCCAGTACAAGTTTATGCCAGCAGTGTGTAAGGGGATGCAGTAGTGTGGTGGTTATGGTGGGAGCAGATAGGACTACCTTTGCAGTGGGTCTGACTCTGGATGGAACCACTGGAGTTCTGGCTTGTTTTCCTCTAGTCTCTGTCTGGATCAAGTTCCTGTTGGCCTGACGGCCAAAAATAGTTCCTCTTTTATTTTCAGCTTAAGTGAATACCCGATCCAACTGATGGGGACATTTGAACACTCACAGACACAAATACATTAAAGGTGTATACCTGATTATCATCCATTGCAGCCCTTCTGATCCGGCTCAGTGTGGTTATGTTGTTCAGTTCCTGATGAGAAAAATCTTTGTCAGGTCAAAAACGTTATATCTTTGCTAAATTAAATGTAATATATGAAATATAACCAGGAGGTAGACACATCCCACATAAATCAATGTCTGAATTCAAGCAGTGGTGGTCGGTACCTTTTCAGATGAGGGAGGACGATTATCTTTTTATGAGCATGGCTTTATTTATATTACAGCATATTCGATGACTGTCATTCATATTCCGTTCACCCAGCTCAATGTAACATGGATATGTTTAGGCAACTTACTACATGATACTCAAACTTTACCTATACCCATCATGAGGTTGCTACAACCTAGCCTATGAATGAAAGTTTACAACATAGGTCGAGAGAGATTTGAATAATCAAGGTGACAGACATTGACGCATTCAATACCGCTTTGCACAATCTTGCCTGCATCTAGCTGATTTAGGGCGTAATCATTAGTCCAACAGTTGCAAACAAGAGTTTCTACTGGACACATTCAGGTATGTTTATCGCCTTTCGTTCCGTTTCAAACAGAATCGGAGGAATGAATACACGCCTGATCACATGAAAATCAGTTCACTTTCATAGAAGCCAGATCATCGTATAATTCCTTCTCGCATCTATGCGCTCTCCTCCTCTCACCTTTTCCCTTCGCTTGTGGACTTCAGTGCACAAAACATAAGCTGTCTGTGACCAGGCGAAAAAACCTTTCCAAGCCAAACCTTCATATCATAAACACTAACTGCTACATACAGCCTACATCGTTGTCACCATTAGCTAACTTCAAGTCAACAACATACAGTGGGGAAAAACATTATTTAGTCAGCCACCAAAAAGATGAGAGAGGCCTGTAATTTTCATCATAGGTACACGTCAACTATGACAGACAAAATGAGAAAACATTTTCCAGAAAATCACATTGTAGGATTTTTAATGAATTTATTTGCAAATTATGGTGGAAAATAAGTATTTGGTCAATAACAAAAGTTTCTCAATACTTTGTTATATACCCTTTGTTGGCAATGACACAGGTCAAACGTTTTCTGTAAGTCTTCACAAGGTTTTCACACACTGTTGCTGGTATTTTGGCCCATTCCTCCATGCAGATCTCCTCTAGAGCAGTGATGTTTTGGGGCTGTCGCTGGGCAACACGGACTTTCAACTCCCTCCAAAGATTTTCTATGGGGTTGAGATCTGGAGACTGGCTAGGCCACTCCAGGACCTTGAAATGCTTCTTACGAAGCCACTCCTTCGTTGCCTGGGCGGTGTGTTTGGGATCATTGTCATGCTGAAAGACCCAGCCACGTTTCATCTTCAATGCCCTTGCTGATGGAAGGAGGTTTTCACTCAAAATCACACGATACATGGCCCCATTCATTCTTTCCTTTACACAGATCAGTCGTCCTGGTCCCTTTGCAGAAAAACAGCCCCAAAGCATGATGTTTCCACCCCCATGCTTCACAGTAGGTATGGTGTTCTTTGGATGCAACTCAGCATTCTTTGTCCTCCAAACACGACGAGTTGAGTTTTTACCAAAAAGTTATATTTTGGTTTCATCTGACCATATGACATTCTCCCAATCCTCTTCTGGATCATCCAAATGGACTCTAGCAAACTTCAGACGGGCCTGGACATGTACTTGCTTAAGCAGGGGGACACGTCTGGCACTGCAGGATTTGAGTCCCTGGCGGCGTAGTGTGTTACTGATGGTAGGCTTTGTTACTTTGGTCCCAGCTCTCTGCAGGTCATTCACTAGGTCCCCCCGTGTGGTTCTGGGATTTTTGCTCACCGTTCTTGTGATCATTTTGACCCCACGGGGTGAGATCTTGCGTGGAGCCCCAGATCGAGGGAGATTATCAGTGGTCTTGTATGTCTTCCATTTCCTAATAATTGCTCCCACAGTTGATTTCTTCAAACCAAGCTGCTTACCTATTGCAGATTCAGTCTTCCCAGCCTGGTGCAGGTCTACAATTTTGTTTCTGGTGTCCTTTGACAGCTCTTTGGTCTTGGCCATAGTGGAGTTTGGAGAGTGACTGTTTGAGGTTGTGGACAGGTGTCTTTTATACTGATAACAAGTTCAAACAGGTGCTATTAATACAGGTAATGAGTGGAGGACAGAGGAGCCTCTTAAAGAAGAAGTTACAGGTCTGTGAGAGCCAGAAATCTTGCTTGTTTGTAGGTGACCAAATACTTATTTTCCACCATAATTTGCAAATAAATTCATTAAAAATCCTACAATGTGATTTTCTGGATTTTTTTTCTCAATTTGTCTGTCATAGTTGACGTGTAGCTATGATGAAAATTACAGGCCTCTCTCATCTTTTTAAGTGGGAGAACTTGCACAATTGGTGGCTGACTAAATACTTTTCCCCCCCACTGTAGCTACTAGAACTAATGCGTTAGTAAACCAGCTACAATCATGCAGTAGAGTGTACAGTTAGCAAGCAGTTTAGCAGTTACACCGGCGGGCCCCGGTGGCAATAAATTAATCAAACCAAAAGCTTACCTTGACTTGGAAGAGTTCCAGTGTTGGATAGCCATAGCCAGCTAGGTAAATAGCATCTCTCTGTTTGAGCCGGGTGTTTGAGTAGGCTAAACTAGCTAGCTAATGTTAGCTGCATTTGCTAGCTAAGTAAGTGAATGTTGAAAAAAAATACGAAATATAGCTCTCTCGATCTCTCTCTTGCTTCTCCTTCATTTTTGAAGAAATTAATTTGTTCAAAATTGTTAAACTATTGTCTTTCTCTCTCTTTGTGTCAACTACTCACCACATTTTATGCACTGCAGTGCTAGCTATCTGTAGCTTATTCTTTTAGTACTAAATTCATTCTCTGTTCCTTTGATTGGGTAGACAACATGTCAGTTCATGCCCCAGTTCATGCCCCCTCCCAGGGCAAGCAGCAAGAATGTCAGTCCAAAAAAGAAAGGGAGGGGAATAGGATCCGATTAAGACGCTCAGATCTCACAACAGACAACTCAACCAAGATCATTATCTTATCAGTCAATCCCAAAAAATGACAATTTAGTTCAGAGGAAACCCACAGAGACCACTTCTTCCCTAAAAGTAGGAGAAGTTCTAAAATAACAGTGACTGTTGAAACTACGCAAAATACCGACTGTGGCTGCACAAAGTGGTATAAAGTCTCGCTATGGAGACAATTCAAAGAGAGATCATGCTGTGAACCCCAATTCCTGTCTCCTACTGTATATAAAACGCAACATGTAAAGTGTTGGTCCCATGTTTCATGAGCTGAAATAAAAGATCCCAGAAATTTTCCATACGCACAAAAAGCTTATTTATCTCAAATTTTTGGCACACATTTGTTTACATCCCTGTTGGTGAGCATTTCTCCTTTGCCACGATAACTCATCCACTTGACAGCTGTGGCATATCAAGAAGCTGATTAAACAGAAGGTGCACCTTGTGCTGGAGGCCACTCTAAAATGTGCAGTTTTGTCACACAACACAATGCCACAGATGTCTCAAGTTTTGAGGGAGATTGCAATTGGCATGCTGACTGCAGTAATGTCCAACAGAGCTGTTGCCAGATAATTTAATGTTAATTTCTCTACCATAAGCTGCCTCCAACGTCGTTTTAGAGAATTTGGCAGTATTTACAACTGGCCTCACAACCACGTGTAACCACGCCAGCCCAGGACCTCCACATCCAGCTTTTTCACCTGCGGGATCGTCTGAGGATGGCAGGGGTTGGTGCTGAGGAGTATTTCTGTCTGTAATAAAGCCCTTTTGTGGGGAAAAACGCATTCTGATTGGCTGGGCCTGGCTCCCTAGTGGGTGGGCCTGGCTCCCGAGTAGGTGGGCCTGTGCCCTCCCATGGCTGTGCCCCTGCCCAATCATGTGGAATCCATAAATTAGGGCCTAATACATATATTTAAATTGACTGATTTCCTTCTATGAACTGTAACTCAGTAAAATCTTTGAAATTGTTGCCTGTTGCATTTATATTTTTGTTCAGTGTGTGTAATATCTATCTATCTTTCTCTCTCTCTCTCTCTCTCTCTCTCTCTCTCTCTCTCTCTCTCTCTCTCTCTCTCTCTCTCTCTCTCTCTCTCTCTCTCTCTCTATATATATATATATATATATATATATATATATATATACAGTTGAAGTTGGAAGTTTACATCCACTTAGGTTGGAGTCATTAAAACTTTGTTTTTCAACCATTCCACAAATTTCTTGTTAACAAACTATAGTTTTGGCAAGTCGGTTAGGACTACTTTGTGCATGACACAAGTAATTTATCCAACAACTGTTTACAGACATATTATTTTACTGTATCACAATTCCAGTGGGTCAGAAGTTTACATACACTAAGTTGACTGTGCCTTTAAACAGCTTGGAAAATTCCAGAAAATGATGTCATGGCTTTAGAAGCTTCTGATAGGCTAATTGACATAATTTGAGTCAATTGGAGGTGTACCTGTGGATGTATTTCAAGGCCTACCTTCAAACTCAGTGCCTCTTTGCTTGACATCATGGGAAAATGAAAATAAATCAGCAAAGACCTCAGAAAATAAATTGTAGACCTCCACAAGTCTGGTTCGTCCTTGGGAGCAATTTCCAAACGCCTGAAGGTACCACGTTCATCTGTACAAACAATAGTACGCAAGTATAAACACCATGGGACCACGCAGCCATCATACTTCTCAGGAAGTATGTCTCCTAGAGATAAACGTACTTTGGTGCGAAAACTGCAAATCAATCCCAGAAAAACAGCAAAGGACCTTGTGAAGATGCTGGAGGAAACAGGTACAAAAGTATCTATATCCACAGTAAAACGAGTCCTATATCGACATAACCTGAAAGGCCGCTCAGCAAGGAAG